CTATATTGTTCAAATGTATGTCGTCCCTACGATTTGAATGTCTGTACGTGTGTAAATAATATTTATTTGAATTTAAAACATGTGTTAGAAAAATTGGCTGGGTATTTTGATTTGACAATGTGTGTAAAAATGTGTTGAATTGAGTAATTTTATCTATTGTGTGTGGTGTATATTCTGACCTAGGGAAATATGGTAATCCTAACAGTATCAACCTGGTGCCTAGATAACGTTTCCTGATTACCCTGAGCAATGATACATATTGCTGTGTCATCATTGTTATTGATGTATTGCTGAATATGTCATTGGTTCCTATCCATAACAATAATGGTATTTCACTGTTGAAATATGGATTTGTGATTTTGATTTGTTTCTTTAATTGTCCAATTGTTGCGCCTGAAATTCCCATACTGTATTCTAATTTTAATTTACTACCTTCTCGGTTAACAAAATATTCCAGACGTTTAGTCAGTGAATCGCCGAGTATTTGAATTTGTATCATATTACGGTATCAAGGTGGTCGAAAGAGTGTAGCAGGGTAATGGCATGTCGGTATGTCGGAATTCTTTTGTTTGGTTGTAGTGTCGGGCCTGCATGTTCAAGGTCGCTGCGAGTGAATGAAACTTTGTGAACTGTAAAATATAAAACTGTAATGCATTTTATGTCTGACATCTATTGCTGTACTGATTGTTGTGTTATTGTTGTACTAAATTACATGAAATTTTATGTAAGATAATAATTTGTTAATGTGAACAATGAATTGACTCTGTGGTTTTGGCTCGATTCAGAAGGAATCAACACTGTCAATTAACGGCCTAAATTGACTGAAATGTTGCGAAGTGACGATTTACTCAAGCAAATGTTGTTAACAGGCTCTTGGCTTTCTTTTGATTATGTAGTACATTTTTTTTTACATTTATTATTATTATATATTTTTTTTTTACGTTTTAAATGTTTTTCTGTTTTTATATTTATTTTATATATTTATTTGTATTTTTGTTTAAGATGAGCCTGTAATAACTGTGTGTAATGTATATTTAAATCGTGTATGTTTGCTTGGAAATAACAAACCTGGCCTTAAATCGTCGCTTTATCTTTGAACTTCTGTTATCTAACATTCCAGTTCTGTTCTAAGTCTGTCTGGCCTATTAATGACATGGACTCTCAACTTTCACTAGCCCACCTCAAATATCAAAACTTTGCTGAACAACTTAAATTCTAAACACAACTTAAATTAAGGTGATGAGTTACAACTAAAATATGTCAGACTACGCTTTAAAATACTATTTTAATCATTAATTAATTCACTGCAGTACCCTTTCGGCTGTAAAAATTATGAAATAAAAATTTTTGGGGATATTTATGACTTTTTGGGGTTGGGGAGGTGACATACAAATGAATTTAAAATTCCCCCCAATTTTGAATTTTGATTTTTTGGTCGTGGCCTGTAAACTATACTGATGTGCACTTTGACTCCTAATATTTTGCTTTCGGTAATAAAAATATTCATCAAACACTCATTCGGCCTGTCGTCGAGGTATATTTAGTTTAATTACTGCCTTTCAGACTTGATGTCGAACTCGTGAGTGATTACATAAATGCATTTAAACATATTTATCAACTTGGTTTGGTAAAATATTAATAAAAAACATCAAGGTTCTCCTAATTCTACTTTGAAATTAAAACATTCTCATTAAAATTGATTTTTAAATTTTCCTTGGAAATAAAATAAATTGAATGATATTGATTCACATTTCATGACGTGCCTAGCTATGCATGCTCGTGCGTTCCAGGCCGCCACGTGGTGCCGACCTGTAACCTGTCGATTTCCTGTCTGAACAAAGCACCTAGCTGGTCTGAGACACGTTTTAATCTATTCTATTTCTGTTAAAATTGCATTTTTGGCCGGATCTTGACGCTCTGCTACCACTATGTGATGATGTGGAGTAGTATGAGTGTAAATGAAGATACCTGGGCCCTATATATCTTCCTCTAGCCACTGCCAAATCACCCACATTTCCTGTCGTAACCCAACTCTATTGCAAGAATTAATCTAACTCGTCAAAGTGCACAATATTACCTTAGCTGCCTATCACAGCCAGCTTTTATGTTCGTAATGTATCTAATTATAATATAATGAACAGAGAAATATATATATATGGACTTATTCTAATTCGTGAAAAAGGTTACTAGACTTAGCAAATGTGAATTCTAATTTACGATATTAATTGCCAGACCACGACCCTTCGAGAACCTAATAAACTACATGATTGAATTACTTTTTGCCCCAACCTACACCCTTTCCCCAACCCCTACTTCTATTAGCTAGACATCTTAGGCTACAGTCTACTTATCCGATCAGATGTACAGCTCCAGGCGCTCGACACTACACTGAACTCGTCTCTTGGTTCGCTGCGCGTGCCTACCCGGGTCGACTGCGCGCGCATCGTGGTCACGTGACTTGCGCTATTGTAGCGGTCCGCTACATCTGGCTATAAACTATCTGGAGTTTACACGTCAAGCTTGTATATAGCCGAGGAGTTCCTTATAAAGCGATATAGTTCAGCTAACTTAACTGAGTAGATTGCAGTTATTGTTTATGGATGAACAAAACGAACGAAAGTATAACACAACCTTCCGTTTAGCACAAGAGATTTGAAGGGGTTTTGTCAGTACAGCAGTCTTACCTGAATGGGGAATAATCCACCCTGGTACTTAAGAAGCACTGCATGACATCTAAGTGCCACAACGTGCAATGATTTAAGTCAGTGTCACGACGTCCAAAATGTAATTTTTGAGCCGTTTCTCAATGTCCAATTAAAAATATTTGACTGTTGCATGACGTCCAAATCTCTTCATGTCCAAAAATACAGTAATTGCAATTAACCTAGTCTTTTACAAGCTTTGGACGTCATGGGATTGGTTGTCGTGAAACAGCCCACTGTACATTTTAAAAAAAAGTAGCAGTTGCACCATGTCCAAAGTCGCTGCCAGTTTCACGACGTCCAATAGCTCAGCGTGGCCCACGACATCCAAGAGCGCCTGCACACTACTATTTTACCGTCTTTAGTACATACAATTTGACCTAACCTAATCTAACCTTGATCCGTATGCAGGAGCTTTGGACGTGGTGCTACTGCTAAGTTTTAAAGAGTATAAAGTTTGCTGTTGCACAACGACCAATTCCATGATGTCCAAAGCTTGTAGAAAGACTTTCTTGCAGTTACTGTACTTTTGGACATGATGAGATTAGGTCAACGTGCAATGTAAAATAGTTTATATCGGACGTGGTAACACAGCTAAAATATTCTTTTTTGTACGTTATGACACTGACTAATATCATTCATTGGCTACATATTTTCAAACAGGTAGGCTTAAGGTTTGAGATGAAATCAGAGATCAACAGAAAGAGGTCTCTTCCAAAAATAAGCATAAACAAAAAGTAAATGGTAAGAAATGTTTTGTAGTTCTTTATGTTTGATAATTTAAAACCCCTAATGTCGCTGAAACTGGCATTCTTGGCTTATGGCTCATGTTGTTGCACGGTGGATGTATAATGGAGTAAAGGACAAAAGATCAGTTTTGTATTCATGATATCTTGATCGAGTATTAATCTATATGCCCTTGGACTATAATTCTCTTAGGTTTCCTGCTCAACTTGAATTGATCACTTTTCAAAAACATCCCGAATCAGCCTTAAGACAAACCCTTCAGAAAGCAGATATGTTTTGTTTGCTATCGGTAAATATTACCAATATAAAAACAGTATTGATATGTCTTTATTTTATAAACTTATGTTTTCCCGTATTTCTATAAAAAATAGGTATATTTTAAAGTAGATTGTTAGGATTAGTACTGAAAAAGTTTTTAAAATTGTACGATAAAGTATTAGTAAATCTTTTTAATAAAAGCATTAAAATAGTAACAATTATCAAAATCATCACTTGGTTGTATAATTATGTTGTTACAGTTGTATAATGAACTAGCTTACAGTTGTTTACCAGAATTTGCCCTCTCAGCCAAATAATAGGCCGATAAGCTTGACCAGGCTTCAACAGAGATTACTTAATGTTGTCTGTTTATCAAAAAAACCTCCTAAATTTTTTTTTGGAAGACCACTAGTCAAGTTATGAATTGATTTCAAAATATATGACTAGTGTCAATAAAAAATCTACATAATTAACACGTTCGCTGCAGCCCATCAAATGGCAGGCGTAGCCCCAGTGCGGCGCAGCCCGCAGCGTCGAACAAACTCAATTGCCGGGCTATTGGCTTTCATATTTCGGTATGACGAATATCAAATAACGTGTGGTGATGTCCTGTTTTATGACAAGAGTCGACGTAGTTTGCTAAACACTCACAGTAGATGCCATTATTTTACAATAAAACAAAATTAATATAGCATAAAATTACAGTTAACAAACCTAATGAGTGAGTCAAAATCCACCAGGTATAGTTTCGGAACGAGTAACGATAATTACAAATGGATTGCACCACAAAACTGCCAATGTCATACACGAAGCACGGACAAAAATACTCCGACCTACACCGGAGTGCGGCTGCACTCAAACGGAATAAGTTTGGTGGGTGCACATTACCGCCCGGGCGGCGCGGCGCAGCGTGGCAGAGCGCGGAGCTACCGCCCGGGCGGTAACCCGCAGCGAACGTGTTAAAACCATAACAAAACATTCAAATGTAATTAGTTACTGCTTTAAAAGTGTGACTCAGTAAAGAGTCTTCATCACTCTTAAGTGAAGTCTGGTTCGGTCTTCGTTAGAAAGAGCGCACTCCTTATTGGGAACTGAACATGCCTTTTCAGTACCGAATAAAAATGAGTCATAGAGTCATAGCTATGAGATGAGAATTCACTTGCTTTTAAATCTGTCATCCAGTCTTTGGCGAACAACTTATACTAACCATACAACCAAAACATAACTTATGTTGAGAAGTATTTTTTGTAAGACTACAGTTATACGCTGACATTTTTCTTTTACTTGTTACAGCAATTTCAGTCACTACTCTTCCAGATTCTCAATGCCGAACACGAAAGACAACTTGTTCTACAGCTTCAACTTAGGCCCGGCTCACTTCATAGGGTTTTCAACAGAGGTGTACTACTTCCTAGGTTACGGCATCAAACAGGTGGTTCTGCAATATGAGTGGTTGGAGAATGATTTGAAGGTATGAAAATGTACATCAAGGATAAAAAAATAAACTGTATCAGCAAACTGACACATACTTTCTCCCATTAGCTCGTACATTGACATGGTGGGGTGGAAGCTGTGTCTAGAAAATTACTCTAGTCTAGATGAATAAAGCAAGAAGACATCTTAGTACTGGCCTGAGGATGGCTTGTATTTGAGTTGAAACTAGCTGCCTTACCGCAACTCATCAGATGGTATAGATGCAGTTGTTTAACACTAATTTATAGTAAACACTAAAAATAAGTAGTCTTTCTAAAAAATCAACAGAACTATCCACCTCCTGTCCACAATATCTACACCAATTATGCAGATGTATAAGTTACCCATCAAAAAAGAATGAAATATACTGTCCACACTTGTTTATACCACAATTTAAACAGACTTTGTTGTCTGTTCTACGTTACTGTTGGTATTTATGCAATGTGAAAAATACATTTGTGACTAGAACCAGAAGACAATTAGTCAGCCTTCTACATATTTCAGAGGTGATACCAAAATGTTAAGACTGTTTTGGCCCGGTAAATCAAAATAGACCCTTTTTCAATTTTCAGGAAGCCACAAAACCAGAGAACAGAGCTAAGCATCCATGGATCATCACGTTTGCCCATCGACCCATGTACTGCTCTGATGACGACGGAGACGACTGCCTAAACTACGAATCTCTTGTTCGTTCAGGATTGCCAATCGTCAAATGGTTTGTTGCTCAAATTGTTTTTTGGGTTCATTTCCTAGTTATAAGGACTCCTCCTTATGAGTCAGTTACTAAAATGACTATCCCTAAGTGCTTTTTGTATGGGATCTACTAGTGAAAAATCTGTAACCTTTCTTTAAAGGTACTTGACACGTTTGCTTCATTGTCGATTATATTAAGTCACAGTGGACTCTTAACTATTGTGAAGAGGTCTGTGTTAGATTGATGTCCACAAGCTCAGTTTTTCATGGAAAAAGGCAGAACATTTCTCAATGTCAAAATATGAATGTTCTGTTTTGACTTTTTTAACCCTCCCAGTGTTACTTGACGAAAATTCGACAAGCAGCACACTTTGTGTAGTGTTACTTGTCGATTTTTCGACACGCAGACATCGTTTACGGCGAAGGCTCTATGACTGACTGAATCGGATTGAACTGGATCGAGTTAGGTATCGTTCTTTCCGTAATATTCTAAGCTTTCTCCAGAGGTCTGTCTCAGCGCTGTACGTTCTCTGAGCCGATCGTAATTGTAGCAGACAGCTGACGTGCGTGTATTTGTAAACAGCTAGGTTACCCTTGGACCGATGACTGATGTGTTTTATTACGTTTATCATTGTTTTAGTGTTAAAAATCAAAAGTAGTGATATACGTGTTGCATTATAAGAAGATTTAAGTGGTTTTGAAGTGCTGGTTGATGATCCTAAAGAAGTAGGTAGTAATATTGATGTAAATTATCAGCCAGATTCCTAGCTATGGTTAGGCTATGCATTCTTAGCTAAACGCTATGTACTGAAATCTGTTTTTTGCCCATAACTTATTTATTTGCAATTGCAAATCTACTTCCTTATATTATTATATATTTGTAATCCTCATAAAATTTAGAACAAAGTGGCTATTTTCAAATATTTGTAGGCCTATAATTTATACAATTTCATTGAGCGCGAACTTATTTTTTTTTTTTATTTTCGAAATTATATTTTTTTTTCCTAAAAATTTTTTTTTTGAAAAAATGTTCCTTATGTTTTATATATAATATTGAAGCCCATGATTTTCCAAACAAAATGGTATATAGAACATTAGAATTAACATTGTTTTAAGCTTCTCAGATCCGTTTTAATAAAACCTTGCAAATGCGCCAAAAATAGGTGGACATTAAGGCCTAAACTATGGACACTTGGAGGGTTAAAGTCTTATGACTATTTTAAAACATGAAGAATAAAAAGCAATGGTGAAAAAATAGTTTTATTCTAGTGATTAAATTATTTTATAAAAGAACACACCTATTTGGGATTTGTTAAACCAAGCGAAATTAGGACCACATCCCGTCTTCCATTCCGCCTGGCGGGGTACGGCCCTTGAGGGAACCATTCCAGCATTCGCCTGAGTGAGGAAAGAAACCGTACAAACTTGCCTCAGAATGGTCGGCCTGATAGTCAGACCTCCCGAATGTGGCGCAGCATCATTGTTATGATGCTACCTCACTCGGTCAGATTAGTATCAATTAATGCAATACATTATAACTTCTACTACTACTTACATAAGATCATTATCCTAAGTACAATAGATACTTAATACTAGATAATTGACATACCTATCACGATACCTTTACACACTTACTACTATAACAAAAGTCTGTTATAACTCAAAATGTAGTTACGCCTTCTTTCCTTTTCCTCTTTTCTGTCTCAACTCATCTTTAATCGGCTCACAGTGTTACCTTTGACATGTTACTGTAGAATTCTTCAGTTTCTTCCTCTAAGTTTCCCAGATATTACATATCCCCATCCATTGTCTCATTCATCTCCAACATTTCATCATGTTCATCCAACATTTTTCTATATAAGATCCGTCAGCACTTTACCCTGAGCAATCCTTTGAATCCTTCTTGATTTTCTGAAGCAATGCAACATCGTGTCTTTGTTTATCTGGTGTTCTACAACCTTCCTTTTTTCCCAGTTGCCCTTATTTCATTGCTTACAATATTGATCCTCTGCAAGCTCAATAGTGACAAAAATTGAATAATTCTGCCAAGCTTTTTGCCGAGGTTTCGTCTTTCAAAACTGCTCTACTTTGTACCCTCTTGAATGGAGCAGACACTTAGCTTTTTTCTTGAGTCTGTACTATTCTTCAAAATAATTTCTACAGGAGGAAAAATTGCATCTTGTATTCATTTATTGAGTCAGTGAATGAATTAAATAAATTGTATCCATGGAAACATATTTATGTCAACATGCCAAGCCTTCCCATCTTTCCACGGTGGATATTTTGAAATTCTCAGATGGGATCATTGTGTGTGATTCTAGTGTGCCCCAAATCCCATTCAAACCTTTGCAGTAGGGATGGTCAAGTCTCGAAATTTCGGGAAATTTTAAATCTCGTTACACGAGACGAGAGTTCTTTTTGCCCGAGATTTTTATCGAGACAATAAAAAAAAATTAAAAACGCCTGCAGAAAGTCAATCCAATACCCGCAATACAGGAGCGTGTTGTAGTGTTGCATTTCCTTTGCGAAGGCGTTCTTATTTAATTAATTCTTAAAATGTAAATATTACTATATAACTATTTTAATAATATTACTTTAATAACATTTGAGAAGTTTTGTTAAGTGTAAGCATCGTGCAAGTGTGAGGAATGTTTTATTACTATAAAAAGTCAAAACAAGTAACTATTTTATAAAAATTAATATTGCTTTTATTTTATGATTTATTTTATTTTAGGATAAGTTGAACTCTATGCTAACTGCTATCACTATGTTTCCTAATGGTAGGCATTTTTAATAAGTTAGGCGTGATTAATAAAAAAATGTTATGCTGATGTTTTTTTTAATAAAAGATTGTAAATAATCTTGCCTATTATCATTATTTTTGTATTTAAACAGTCATCTAACAATATTACAAAATCAGGTAAAAATTTTGAACATGCATTTCCCGTTGTGCATGAGAAGGGAAATCCCGTCTCGATCTCGTCTCGAAATTTTATGAGAAATAAAAAATCTCGTCTCGTCTCGAACTAAAAATCCAATCTCGTCCATCCCTACTTTGCAGGGTTAAAATGAGAAAGCTATAGACTTTTAAACCACGGGAAACCCTGATTTAAGCCATGAATTTCAAATTTAAGCAAAAAAAGAAACAATTCGCTATTTCCAATTCCTGGTAAATTGATAATTGGAATGCCATTGAAGCTGTTAATACCAGTATATAAAAGAAATTCTTATTGATCACCTTTACTGTATGACTTTCAATTCAATTCCCAAAATTTCAACGGAAAACCCTGATTTTAAGTCAAGAATTTCACAGTAAAATTAAAAAAAAGGAATAGGAAGGGCCAATTCCAATTTTTTGAAATTGAGAATTGGAATTTCATTAAAAATTTTAATACTAGTGGTATCAAAACATTTTTTGTTGATTCCCTATACTGTATGACTTTCAATTCAATAATGATACCTACATTTCATATCAAATCATTTCTACCCTTTTCAGTCACAAAAACTTGTCAGATACCTTCCGATCTTGCTTTAATATTCCAAAATATGTGTAAAGTTCCACGGCCTCATAAAAATGATGAATTTACAAAAATCCTGCCAAAAGAAGAAGAATACGAGTTTCCAAAATGTATGGGTTTTAATTTTGAAGCTAGTTTTTATTAATTTAATTTAATTTTATTTTAGCTTTATTTTTATTCATTTTGTAACTTGGTCTGGAATTGGAACCACATTTCAGCTCACAGTGCCATTGGTTGTGTTGCTACTGCCTTTCCACCTTGGGGAGCAAGCTGGTCTAGTGGTTAGAGCGTGGGACTGCAGTCCCTGAGGTCCCGGGTTCAAATCCTGCCAAATCACCAATGGATTTTTATCTAAGTGATAATGCCGCAACCCCTAGGTCAAAAAACATTTTTGTTAAGTGTCTAGAAAATTTTTTTTTTTAAAAACTGCCTCTCTGTTTAATACTACATATTTATTCATGAGATTGGCTCTTAAGTGCTGTGATGCTGCCATGATTCAAGATTCTGCCTGTTACCAGCTGCTAAACTCTTTTTAACATCACAAAAATATGTAAATATGACAAAATAACTGACTAAACATGAATTCAAGGTCCATGCTTGAGTGGGGAATCTGTTTGAAGCGTAATGAAAATCACTGTGATAATTTCTACAGGTTTGGCCTTGAAGATCTGTTTGTGAAGTACGGAGTGGACCTGGAGATCTGGGCTCATGAACACTCTTATGAGCGGCTGTGGCCTGTGTATAATCACAAGGTGTACAATGGTAGCTGGGAACATCCTTACACTAATCCTGGGGCTCCTGTGCACATAATCACCGGCTCTGCTGTAAGTATATCTGCAGTAAAAAAGTAAATAATTACAGTAACTATCAGCCACCCTCTGCCTCTAGTAAATTCTGACATATAATACTTTTGCCAACTACGCAAGAAAGATGAGTACCGCTTGTTTTAATATGTCAGTGACCCCTGTGAATATCCTTCTTTGAAATTTGCGTGATGCTCTGCTATTATTGGGGCTTACCGTTTATTTTTGATAATGGTTCTGGTTAAATTACCAGTTGGTAACAAAGCTATAATTTAGGGATGAACGAGATTGGATTTGTAGTTCGAGACGAGACGAGACGAGATTTTTTATTTCTCATAAGATTTTGAGACGAGATCGAGACGGGATTTCCCTTCTCATACACAAAGGGAAATGCACGTTCAAAATTTTTACCTGATTTTGTAACATTGTTAGATGACTGTTTAAATACAAAAATAATGATAATAGGCAAGAATATTTACAATCTTTTAATAAAAAACATCAGCATAACATATTTTTATTAATCACCCCTAACTTATTAAAAATGACTACGATTAGGAAATATAGTGATATCAGTTAGGATAGAGTTCAACTTATCCTAAAACAAAATAATTCATAAAATAAAAGCAATATTAATTTTTATGAAATAGTTACTTGTTTTGACTTTTTATAGTAATAAAACATTCCTCACACTGCTTACACTTAACCAAAACTTCTCAAATGTTATTAAGTAATATTATTACATGGTGTCTACTCTCCGGGAAATTCGGGAAAACCGGGAAAACTCCGGGAATTGTATCTTACCTTGAAATGTCCTGGAAAACTCCAGGAATCCACCCAAACCTCCGGGAATCCACAGCCCGGTCATCGGAATCGTCGGCTAACCAAACACTGCCGCTTTTGTTGCCGAAATCGCGGGAGACAATTATCGGTGTCGCCGAAACGGCAAGATATCCTCACGGGTATTGGCACGATCGCGGGAGACGATTAGCGGTGTCGCCGAAACCGCAGGATATGCTCACGGGTATTGCCGCGATCGTGGGAGACGATTATCGGTGTTGCCGAAACCGCGAGATATGGTCACGGGTATTGGCATGATCGCGGGAGACGATTATCGGTGTCGCCGATACCGCAAGATAGTCTCACGGGTATTGCCGCGATCGTGGGAGACGATTTTCGGTGTTGCCGAAACCGCGAGATATGGTCACGGGTATTGGCACGATCGCGGGAGACGATAATCGGTGTCGCCGAAACCGCAAGATATTCTCACGGGTATTGCCGCGATCGTGGGAGACGATTATCGGTGTCGCCGAAACCGCGAGATATGGTCACGGGTATTGGCACGATCGTGGGAGACGATTATCGGTGTTGCCGAAACCGCGAGATATGGTCACGGGTATTGGCACGATCGCGGGAGACGATTATCGGTGTCGCCGAAACCGCAGGATATGCTCACGGGTATTGCCGCGATCGCGGGAGACGATTATCGGTGTTGCCGAAACCGCAGGATATGCTCACGGGTATTGCCGCGATCGTGGGAGACGATTATCGGTGTCGCCGAAACCGCAGGATATGCTCACGGGTATTGCCGCGATCGTGGGAGACGATTATCGGTGTTGCCGAAACCACAGGATATGCTCACGGGTATTGCCACGATCGCGGGGGACGATTATCGGTGTTGCCGAAACCGCGAGATATGGTCACGGGTATTGGCACGATCGTGGGAGACGATTATCGGTGTTGCCGAAACCGCGAGATATGGTCACGGGTATTGGCACGATCGCGGGAGACGATTATCGGTGTCGCCGAAACCACAGGATATGCTCACGGGTATTGCCACGATCGCGGGAGACGATTATCGGTGTCGCTGAAATCATAAAATATGCAAACCTATTTTGCCGCGATCGATTGCCTGTGTTGACGAGACTGCAAGATATGCTCACCGGTATTCCCACGATCGCAGGAGATGATAGCTGGTGTCGCCTTACCTACTAGTTATACTGTTTTATTATGTTGTATAAAATATTTTCTTTGGAAAAGTTTTGTTTTAAATTAAAATAATCATAATAGTAATAATAAATTATTATTAGCGGGTTGCGATTAGTTGAACGGGTTCCGATAGTAGCTCTTAAAATTCAGGAATTTGTCTTGAATTCTCCTGGAAAACTCCTTGAATTTTTCAAACCAGGTTTAGTAGACACCATGTATTAAAATAATTAAAGTAATATTTACATTTAAAGAATTAATTAAATAAGAACGCCTTCGCAAAGGCAACGCAACTACAACACGCTCCTGTATTGCGGGTATTGAATTGACTTTCTGCAGGCTTTTTTATTTTTTATTCTTGTCTCAATAAAAATCTCGGCCAAAAAGAAATCTCGTCTCGTGTAACAAGATTTAAAATTTCCCGAAAATTTCCCGAAATTTCGAGACTTGACCATCACTACTATAATTTCATTCAACACTCATCCTCCACTCTTTATCACCATAAAATACACATCCTGGTATGTCAGCGCCATAGAAAACAAATTAAATCTAATATGCCCTTATTGGTAACAAATTAGTTTTCCCAATTGGCAGTACCTAGAATCACCTTTATTTACCTGAGTGAGCCAAACAAAAAAACCATAACAATATGTATTGTTATCTCTGCGTTGAATTATTTTTTAAGAGGTAGGGGACCTCTTTGTATTTGCCCAGGCATATGCATACAACCTGTCCAGCAAAGCAAGGGGTGAGCCGTTTCAGTGGAAAAATGAACTGGTTGAGACCAGTTCATTTTTCCACTGAAACGGAATCAAATTTAAAATCAATTTAATTTAATGAGTCAAGTTTAATGGCAACGCCAGGTACAACTCATGGCATCGCTGCCATTTATTGGTAGTCTTATCACGATACCGAATGAGACACTAACTCGCTAAATATATCTGATAAAAAACAAATGTAATGAAGGTTACTAAAATTTTAACTTGATTACAAAAGTTACTATGTTTCCGTTTTCAAGTAGGCTATTGTACCCCTACGGTTTGTTTACAGGGGTGTGATGAAAAGGTAGACCCTTTTATCAAGAATCCTCGGGAGTGGTCAGCCTTCAGATCCTCGGACTATGGTTACACTCGGCTGCAGATCCACAACTCTACTCATCTCTACATGGAGCAGGTCTCCGATGATCTGGTGAGTGTTTGACTATTGAAGTAGACATCTCATTTTCATCAGTAAGAATAAAAATTAACTGAGTTGTATTGAATCACTGATAAGAGTGTCATGATGTTTATTACTAACTAGCTGTACCCGCGGGCTTTGCCCCGTTTAACTTCATAAGTGAGCTCGTTTGCATGGCTCAATCACGTCCTGGTTGAAGTTCGTTCACTACGCTCACTCACTTTTAGGTTGGAGCTCGTTCGCTGCGCTCACTTGCCTTCAGGTTAGCTCGTTCGCTACGCTAACTCGCCTCCAGGTTGAAGTTCATTCGCTGCGCTCACTCACCTTTTGGTTGCAAATTAGCTGTTGTCATAAATGTAAAAGAAATAATAGTGCTGCACCCTGTTGGTAATCGTTGTAACTTAAAATGCTATTGAACATCATAGAATAGAACAAACTTGTTTAATTGAAACAGCTGTTGTTAAGATTCATTAATTCCATTTAAATATGAGTACTCATATGGTTAACATGGGAAACTCCAGAGCCACTGGGGCGGAGCCCGAGAGTCCGATCAGAATAAAAACAACTTAGTTTGCCTATTTAATGCCTAAAGAATCAGTGTACCAAATTTCAGCCTCCTAGGTAAATGGGAAGTGGGAGAATTAGTGATGAGTGAGTGAGTGAGTGAGTGAGTCAGTCAGTGAGGGCTTTGCCTTTTATATATATAGATTTGTGTTGAATATGCCTAATTGTAACCAAGCTAAATTAAATGCCAGCTCTTTATGAACTAGCATGATGTCCAACTTAACACTTAAATACTTTTCAATGAAATGGCGACCATACAAAGTAGGTATTTAAAGCCAAGTATGAATGGAGAGTGTAGGATGAGTGGCGCGATCTTGTAGTCTTGTTGGTGACTAAGGCCGACTTATTCCTTAGACACAGCTGTTAATTAATAGCCCATACAGCTAATGGCAACTAAGGGACCTACAGTTTATAGTGGAATCCGAACCACATTTTAGCCTTGGTGTTGGTATATACGAATTGGTCTAATTTTCTGGATAGTACTGCGGATATCTAGTACTCACTCGTGCGGACGTTTATCCACACCAGGGAGTATCGCATCCACAGTGCATGCCTATAAATATTCACAAAGTAACCTCCTAGTAGCTGGATTACAGGACAACGCCACCCGTCCTAATCTAACTAATCATAAGTACCCAAAAATAAGGGAAGAAATCAAATTTGACTGTAGTGCAATTTATTAGTGGCTCAACTATGTTTTATGCATATGAAAAAGCTGCTATAGCTAGAGAAAATATATGGGAAGTCTTATTCAGTATCAAAAAGTCAATGGTCTGATTATGTGAAACATTCTAAAAAGTAAAAAGCAATACAGTATTTTTGTTTTACAATTTAAAACATTAAATAAACAACATAACACGTAAGTAAAGTTTGATTTAGTTAGTTGTTTTTACTTATTTGCTCATTCTTGATATATGATTCTAGGATGGCGCAGTGATTGACTTCGTTTGGCTAATCAAAGAAAAGCACGGCCCTTATAAACTGGACATGAAACCGTAAACCTTCATAGTCATCATATGAACCTACTCTGTAATATACTCTATCATATTATGATCACTCTAGTTTACTAGAGTATGATTACACTAAGTGTGATAAAGAATACCTGTCGATGTAATTGTTTGCATTAATCAAAGTAGACATTCAAGTTCATTAAACGTATAGATAATGGATTATTTTGTATTGGTGATAGGACTTATTTTAAAGGTCAAGAATGTATTGCCAACAATTATTATGTGAAGCTTAAGTTTAAAGAATTTCTAAACCTATAAGAAAAGATGTACATTCCGCTTGCATTTAATCTTCTAAAATATTTGAAGAGAATATTTAAATATTAAACTTAATTTGTTCCTGTTTAAGTCATTGAATTCAGTTATTATTTGTTAAATATGTAATCTTTTGTGTACCGATGCTCAAATTTGTGAGTTATCAATGGTCAATGAGATAAAAACACTCTTTCCCCAAACTGGCACAATTCTTATGAAGGGTTAAACATAAAGAAGATGCCACTGCAGTACAAACAATTGAAACAATTGAGTGAGTTAGAGTTTTTTTCTAGTCTTGTAGCCAAATTGGATAGATTAACACACCCCAAAGCAACATTATAGCCCCTGGCAACACAATTGTTATGTTTTTATGTATGTACCATATATTTTTTAACAAATAAATCTCTGTAAATTTTGGTCTTGTTTCTATCTTACCATTTTTACCATGGGTTGTTTGAACTTTAAAAAAAAAAAAAAAAAAAAAACTTAATTTATAAGGTCCAGTGCATGGTGCGAAGCACAGGACCAAGCTACTTGAGCTGGTCAAGATGGTACCTTACACCATCTTCATTATCCAGGAGCTAAGGCAAAGATTCTGCTGTAGTGTTATCGTAAGTTAAATTAAAATATAGTTTTAATAAGACAAATACTTTATTAGGTAGCTTTTACAATAAATCAAGATTCAGAATGTTTACCAACAAAAACTAAACAAATAATATTCTAACACCATATCATGTGTTCTGAAGGACTGGTCTGCAGTGCTGGTTGAGAGTGATCAGAAGGCATAGTAGTGCTAAATCTTTGCAGTGATCTTCTGTTCCTCCGCAAACAACCATCTTGCGTTTGAATTATATAGGATCGAGGTGCAGGATGTTTGTTTAATATAGTTCCTTCTTGATTCCTGTCCTTCATATGGACTTGAGCTCCATCAGGTAGAGTAGGCAATTCTGTGGCTCTATGTCTTTTGTCAAAATAAATCTGTTGACGATTAATTCTTGCTTCTTCCTTTTCCCTTAACTTTTCAGTGTCTACCAGATAAGGTCTTAGTTGATCAGGCATTATTAGAACACAAGTGCGGATCCTTCTCCCGAAAAGTAATTCCGCTGGACTTTTTCCATTTTCTAGAGGGGTTGCTCTTAACATAAGTAGCATTTTGTAGGGATCATCACTTTTTTCTAAGTGGTACTTAAACATTTTTACTTGCGCTTCAATGAAACCATTGCTTTGTGGAAATTTTGGGCTTGATGTAATCAATTTAAATCCATAATCACGACCAAGTTGTTTGAATTGACAGCAGTCAAATTGAGAACCACAGTCTGCTCTCACTGTCTCAGGTACACCATGACGTGCGAAGATGGACTTTGTATATGTCACAATAGTGCCCATTTTTAAGTCATTTAGTCTAGCAATCTCCATAAACCTGGAATAATAGTCTGAGATTAAGAGATACCAGTGACCTTTGCACTTCAGCAAATCGGCACCCACTATTTGCCAAGGTCTGTCCGGATAAGGCGTTGGTATCAGCGGCTCTGCTCTCGTAGCGCGATTTTCTGCACATATCTTGCAATTTTCTACTAGTTCTTTGATTTGTTGAGAAATACGAGGCCACCACACAGTCAATTTTGCAAAAGATCTACATTTTGTTATGCCTTGATGTCCTTCATGAATACTTCTTAGTACATTAGCTCTTAGAGAATTTGGTATTATAATACGACTTCCAAAGAGAAGTATACCATTTTGCTCACTTATGTCTTCTCTACGATACCAGTAGGGCAATACGTCCTCTGGAATCTTAGATTTTTCTGGCCAACCTTTCACAGAATACTGAGACACATGTTTTAGAGTTTCATCTTTCATAGTTTCTTGATTTATTTCTCGCAACCTTTCATCTGAAACTGATGGTAGAGTAGTGTCAATATTTTGTATATATATATGCAAGGATTTCCTCTGTAAGTTCCCATTCCTCTTCAGAGTTCTCTGTGTCTCGAGACAGTGCATCAGCCAAAATGAACTGTTTACCGGGCATGTAGGTAATGTCATATGTATATCTCATCAGTCGGAGTCGTATTCTTTGAAGCCTGGGAGTAATATTGTCCAAGTCTTTCATCTTGAATATGGAGAGCAAGGGCTTATGGTCTGTCTCAATATGAAAATGCAACCCTAAAATGAGGTGTTCAAATCGTTCACACCCCCATGCAATCGCTAGAGCTTCTTTTTCTATTTGAGCCCAATTATGTTCGGCTGATGACAAACTTCTCGAAGCATAGGCCACAGGACGTTTAGTTCCATCTTCTTGAAGCTGAAGTAGTGCAACTCCAATACCGTATGACGAGGAATCCGCTGAGAGGCAGGTTTCTTTAGACATGCTGTATAAAGCGAGACACGGTTCGGACATCAATGACAGTTTAATCTTTTCCAAAGCTTGGTCTTGATCAGGCCCCCAAACAAATTCTGTATTTCTTTGCAGTAAAGCATGTAGTGGATGAGCTATGGTCGACAAATTATGAATAAACTTCAAATCAAATCATCTTTATTCAAGCTGTAAATACATACATGAATAGAGTCACAGAAATAAGAACTAACAAGTACATTATGTTTCTTATTTTTACATCATTTTACGTATTTACATACATTGCTAAATCTATGCAATACAATCCTTTATTAATGCTGTGTATTTATGAATGTAGTTTAAACATTTTTTACTCTTTTGGTTGATTAGGCCTACATAACAAAAGGCTAAAGACAAATTTATTAAATTCGCTCATCAGTCACCAGATCTTGCAATTTGTATTTTTTTTTTCTTTATCATTGAAATCATTTATGTAAATATTTACCTACAACCAGCTCTAGTCATGCTGGTAGCAAATAAGCTTGATTATTGGATGGATTAATAGAGCTATAAAAAGAAATCTTCTATAGAATAACAAGTTTTATCTTGGAGATATTTTCTTACTAATTTCCTAAATCCCTTTGTGTGTATATTAGTTTTCAGATTTGATGGTAATTTATTAAGAAATTTACATCCGATTTGTGTTGCTTTCTTTGAGAAAAAAGTGAGGTTATGCCGGGGTATATCTATTTGATCTCTATTTCTTGTGTTATATATGTTTATATCTTTGCGAAACACATACTTATGAATGTTATTTTTGGCAGAGATAATGCATTCTAAAATACTAGTGTACCTGTTGCTCGAAATCGAGCAATTGTCAAGTACCGTTATTATACAAAAGTGTTTTTTTTTTTTTTAACTACAGTAATAACAGTCATAATTATCGATGAGTTTAAAAGACCCAAAAACTTAAAATGCTTATGTAACTAATTGAAATACTTGCGCTATTTAATAACGCTTTGGAATAATAAATATTTGAGCATTTTTTGGACCCGGCCTTTGTTGACCCGGTTTTTGTGTTTTCTACAAATGTTTCCCGACTTAAAGCTGTTACCAGTAAAAATGTCTTGCATGTATTTATTTGATATGACTTTAGGCGGGTTTACTTTACCACTGTGACAACATGATGTGTATATTCTTCATGGCTTTTTTTCTTCCAAAATAAGTTGCTTAGCATAACTGGCATAAATGATTCATCTCCCCAAGTGATTGTGTACCTGGATTCCTTACTGTGAGACCATGCCTCTCCTCTACTCTTCTCATAAGTATAAGCTTTCCTATTAATTGTCTCCTCCTCCTGTTTTCAATATTTCTCCTTTAAATTCAAGAAATATTCTGTTCTTCCAACACAACTTATTAACTGCTTGGATTTGTTTATAACCTCCTAAATATTACAAACATCAATATTTACTCCCAGAAAGCTGGTGAGTTTATTTTTATTTACAGCTGTTTTTGTTTTAAAATTTGTTTTCAATGTAATTCTTATGGGGGGAAATGCGACCTTTGAGAGCGTCTCGTGCCCTTAAGGGTAAGACATTTTAAATTCTAAAACCTTTATGCAAAACTACTGATTTATTAGAAAACATTCAGTATTTAGGCTACTGCATTTTATAAACCAAACTCGAATCTTGCTACCTTGGCCTGTTTACCTGTTTGGTACCTGGTAAAACTTATCAGATTGCATAAGTGAATTATTAGCAATACAATGATGGTTTATCTCGTGATATCGAGAATATGTAATTCTGACCGCTAAATTGAAACCCTTAAAAGGTGGGTCTGGGTCTAAAGATATTTCCAAACGAAACGTAAATCATCATTATGTCCCAACAGTTTATCATGTGTATCCCAGTCACACCAACTACATTATATTCTATTAACACGTTGGGTGCTGATGACGGGAATTCCCGCAATTGCTTAACATTGAAATAAATGCAACTTTTATGTTCAAACATGTCGACCGCACGAATAGTGTTAATATAATGATCGACATTAATTTTGCAAGAAGATTCAATATTTTAATATGAGTGTCCTTAGTTTCTTGTTTAAGCTGTCAACCTTTATAAGGAATATAGAATCATTTTTATTAGTATCCCAATTTTGCTGATTTATAGTCCACTTACTATATTCTCGTCTGTTAACAATTTTTAGAAAATTAATAAGCTGTAAAAACTAAGGTAATATAGTAAATTAATGATGTACAGTTTAACACATGAGCAATGGTTGTGTAAGCTTCTAACTTAAAGCAGTAATAAGAATTTTAGATACGTCCATTGACTTTAAATACATCAAAATATTTATCATCCTATATTGTAACATCATATATCTTATATCATATATCTTGGTTTGATGTTTCATGTCAGCTAACGCTTCACAGCGTTGATGTGTTGGCTGAATATTGCCCTCGTATTTTAGGACAAATGTTACAATGCGATTAAACTTTGGGTTTAGTGACAGAACAAAAGCAGTGGTTTATAAATGTTCTATTTTGTGTTACTAAATATAAAATACTCCCGGCGCAGCAAACCTGCAGACTAACTGAATTCCCAACTGACTTGTTGGATTTTTAAAAAATTATTTCCTCAATTGTCATATTTATTCAGGGGTGCCCACAGGGGGGTTTGATGTCGCAAAATGCGACATCAGAAATTTATTTGGGGGGGATTTTATGATTTTGGGGGGGATTCAAGCCAGTGGTTGGTTAAAAGCACATAAAAGATTAATAAGATAATTTTTACGACCTCCTTAATTTATTACTGGGGTAATTATGCAATCAAAATCCCGTTTGACATTTTATCTTGATTAATAAATCATTTTATAATTGCTATAAAATATATAGATACTTTTATGTGTACTTCCACTTTCTGACTCGTATCATGTTTGACAGTGAGAACAATTCCATGCCAACTACACCAAAGGATTATGGTTGGCTTATTAAATTGTATCCGCAATTTGAGTTTGTTTTTACCTTTCATTATGAACTCATTCTCAAACAGTCCCATTGCCTTGAGGACCTATTGATGGTTTTTT